GCGCCGCGCGTGCGTGCGCTTCGGCGGCGCGGCGCGCGGCGGCGCCAGTGGTAGTTGGGCTGGTGGGGGAGCCTAACGTCGGCAAGAGCTCGACGCTCAACGCGCTCCTGGGCAGCCACCGTGTCGCCGTCTCCAGCCACCCAGGGCGCACCAAGCACTACCAGACGCACTACGTGTCGCGCCGCCTCGTGCTGTGCGACTGCCCGGGGCTGGTGTTCCCCCGGCTGGACGTATCGCTGCCCGTGCAGGCGCGTGGGCCGCGGGACCCGTTGGTTGAGACAGTCCCGGGCCTGTGGGAAAGGAGGGTGGCTGCGTTTGGGGCGATTTGCGCTGGAAACCGCAGGGGCGGGCCACCGGCGTCCAGCGCATGTCCTCATCCAACCAGCTCATCTCATCCAGCCGGCTCCTGCGGGCTCGCCTGATGGCCCCGATGGACAGGCGCGGGGCGCGCGCGGTGATGTCCGCACGGCGCCGCCTGGCTGCCCACGCCGCGCGAGCGGAGCGGGGCGCGGGCGCGGGCGTCGCCCGCAGCCCCACCCTGCTGCGAGCGCGCCAAGGGGATGCACCAACCCCTCAGCCGCGCCCTCGCACTCCTCCCTCCCCTTCCCAGGTGCTTTTTGGGTCCTTTCCTATTGCCCACTGCCGCGACCCCTATTCTGTGGTGCGCTACCTGGCAGAGCGCACCTTGCCGCGTGTGCAGGACGCGCTGCGCCTCAAGCTGCCTGTCAATGAGGACGGAGAGGACGGCGGCGGCCCCTCCGGCCCCGCCGGCGCTGGCGCGGGGGCGGGCCGCGGGGGCGGCGGCGAGGGCGAGGGCGGGGACGGTTGGTCGCCGGTGGCGCTCTGTGAGGCGCTGGCCGGGCGCCATAACTGGCGCTCGCGGCGCGGCGGGCGGCCGGACTTGTACCGGGCTGCTAATTGGCTGCTGAGGGGCGCGCTCGCGGGCAGGCCGGGGCTGGTGCTGGGCTTCCTGCCGCCGGAGGGGGAGTGACGAGGCGGGCGGCGGGGCGACGAGGGGCGCAGCTACTAGGTGCATGCAGCAAAGTGCGCAAAGCCCTGAAAGCTTGCCTTGGCAACCTGAGAGTAACAATCTGCACTAAGAAGTCTCAGTGGGTGATGCACTGTACCCTGGGTTGCTGGTGAACCGCCTCCTGCACAACACATTATCCCCATCTGTTGATTTATCGGCGCAGCGGCGCGCACCAGTCTGGGCGAGCCCACGCTTCAGTGGTGCGGGGTTGAGCATTAGTGCAACATTTGATGGCACTGCAGTAATGGGAACAGAACAGACGAGGCCGCGGGCGCCATTTTCAGGTAAGACGGATTACGCTGCGTATCGGGTCGCAGCACTGCAACGAAGCACTCAGCGGCCACCGACACACGCGCCATAACCGACGCAGCGTCTCCTGGTGCGACAAATACTGCAAATCCATTGGCTCATTGGAAGGCTCCAGTAACCAATTATTACCTCCAGAGAATTCACACGCCACAAGCACGCGGCAAGCAGGATTCGCAGCCTCGGAGATCTTCGCGTGACAATCGTTCTTGTGACCCGTCTACGTACCGTGCACGTCGCTATGTCCGCCCCCAGCACAGCAATCAGAGGTATTAGCGCGTCATCTTTGCCGTGCAAAACCACTCCACCGACGCCGCGGCGGATCCGGGCCCCTGAGCTGCAGCGGCAGCAGCGGCGGAGAGCAAACGCTGTGTCAGGTGCGCCGCACTGCAGCAGCGGCGAGCGTCCCCAGCAACCCTGTCTTTGACAGTTGCTCGACTGCAACACATTCACCACAAACCCCCAGGCATACCAGCCACGGATGCGCCGCCGTTCACGCACCTCAGCACGCCGGTGTACAGCCTGTCAAGCTGCGGCGCCGGCGGCGCCGGCCGCACCATGAACATTGTGACCTATGCGTCGCCCATCGCCATCAAGCCGGCGCGCAAGTACGTCGTAGGGCTGTACGTGGAGACGCTGTCGTGGCGGAACGTGAAGGAGACGGGGCGCTGCGTGCTGCAGGCGCGCCGCGGCGAAGCGGGGCGGGCACCCCTCGAGCGTCGCGCCGAGGCGGGGCGATGAGCTTGCTGATGCGCCGAGCGACGGCGGGCCGAGGGAAGGGCGCAAACACACGCACGTCTGCCTGTTTTGATGCAGCCTCGTCCCGTTGCTTTCGCCCCGCCAGGACCATCGCCTGTCCTGTCCGCCACCACAGCAATAATGAAGCAGCAGATGGACGGCACCGCCCTCCCCAGCGCCGCGCCCTTACTCTCCGCGTCTGCGCCTGCGCTGCGCCGGCCCCTCCCTCACCTCCGCCCCCAGATCCTGCAGCAGAGCCACAGCCCGCTCTTGCAGCTGCTGGGCAAGAGCAGCGGCCGGGACGTGGACAAGGAGGCGGAGGCGCGGCGGCTGGGCTTCAAGGTCGTGGACGCTTTTGGGCTGCCTGTGCTTGAAGGTCAGGGCCGCGGCGCGCTGCACAGCTGCATTCACCGCGCTGCCTCCGGCGCACATCGCGCTGGCAGCGTAAAGCGCCGTTCCTTGGCAGAAACTCGCAGCAACGGGATGACTGCGGCACCGAGCCTGGCCAAGCAGCCAGCGAGTGTGCTCTGAGCTTGGGCTGGCCGCTTAGCCAACGGCTGCACCTTTTCTGCCCCTGCCTTGCGCTGCGACGGGCATGTGTTCACGTTGGATCCCACCCTGTGCCCCCCTTTTCGCCCAGACTGTGCTGGTGCAATGGAGCTCCGGTTGGCGGGCGATTTCATTCCCTGCGGTGCGCCTGCGGGGCTGCAGCTTGTGCCCGCGTGTCAGAACATCCAGGAACCCCATCCCCGCCAAAACTATTGTTTGTGACCCGGGGGCCGCGACTGGCAAAAAGGCACCGCCGGCTTTCACTGCCCTGCCTGCTCTGCCACTCCCCTTTGTGGCGCTTGCCCGTCGTCTCTCCCGTTGCCTCCCCCATCTCCACCGATGCCACGCCCCACCAAACCCTTCAATGCAGGCGACCACGAGGTTGCTATATTTGATGTGGTGGGCTGGAAGGACATGGAGGGGCCAACAGCGCCGCTGTACACGGAGTATTTGAAAAAGAACGGGTTCCTGTGACACATTTCAACTGCCTGGCTGGGGTCCTAGGGGCGATTCATCTCAAGTGCTGCTTTGTGCACAGCACGCCTTTTATGCACAGCTCCCTGTGTGTCTCTGTATCCGAAAGCTCAGCTCAACAATGAAAAACCGTGTTGGCCTACGTGTTACACACCGTCACGTGATTGGATTGCAACAGTCAAGGTCACTGGTAACATTGCTTTGGAAGCCGGCCGCAACCACAGATATGGCGGGCACCCACACGTTCCAGCTTGCAGGGCTGGCCCGCCCAGCACCCGCAGACGCCGCTGCACGTGCCCGGGCCCCCTTAAGCGTCTCCGCCTTCCGCTGCGGCCGCCTCGCCGTCCCCGGCCGAGCCCGCGGCGGCTTCCTCCGCGGCCGCGGCCTCCTTGAGGCCGCGCGCCTTGGCCTTCTTGAAATAGTCGTCCATGTCAGAGTCCAACTTGGACTTGAGCTTCTCCGCGCCCTCCTTGCCTTGGCCCAGGAAGTACCTGCGGCGGCCGGGTGGGGAGACGAGGGTCGCTGGTGTTGTTGGAGGTGGTGCATGTTTTTTGTGTGTTTATTTGTGTGATTATGTGTGTATGTATGTATGTATGTATGTATGTATGTATGTATGTATGTATGTATGTATGTATGTATGTATGTATGTATGTATGTATGTATGTATGTATGTATGTATGTATGTATGTATGTGTGTGTGCGCGCGCGCGCACATGCGCGCGCGTCTGTGTGAGCACCTGCAGGCATCGTGCGGTGCATGTCGCGGGTGTGTGAGGGAAGCGCATCTGAGTGGAAAATGAGCCCAACAAGCAATGCCACGGTGCGATCATGCACCACTGATCATGGGAAACAGAGGCTGCAGAGGCACACGCGGCGTTTGCCAGTGCATGAGCTCGCATGCGCCCTGCTGCCAGCCGCACTCACTCGTTCATCTCGGCATCCAGCTCTTCAGCGGTCCTGGGCTTGCCCTTGTCATCGCGCCCACGCCCGCGCCCGCGGCCGCCACGGCCGCGATCGCCTCCCCGCCCGCCCCTGCCGCCGCCCCTGCCGCTGCCACCGCCGCCGCCACCCTTCTGCACGCCGCCGCTGCCGCGCCCACCGGGCTTGGGCCCGCGGCCCCTGCCCCCGCCGCCACCGCCGCCGCCACCTCCGCGCTTCTGAACCTGTCCGCTACCACCACCTCCGCGGCCTCTGCTGTTCCCCATGGCCCGAGTGTGCTTCAGATCACTGCGTTGCTAAGCGGTGCGGAGTGATAGTGACGATGATAAAACTTTTGAACGCCAATGTTATAGGCCAACGCACGGATCTAGCACCGTAAGCGAAAGAGTCTTATGGCGCAACAACAACGGACCGTGACTGATCTGGGCTCGAACCTGCCCACGCGAGCGCACTGCAACAACAGCCTCCAGCCATGCGATGTCGAGGTCTACGGTAGCACATGAGTGCGAGATGGCACGATCCCACAGAGAAGCGTTGACTGTGTCCAGCACGCAGCAGCGTCCGCAGTGCCGGAACGGCAGTGGCACTGACTGCCACCAGCTGCAGGACACGCGCACGAACGACCGCTGATGGGTCCATGTTGCGCTCGCCCCAACAATTAACAACATGTTGCTTGTCTGCCATTCTGTAGTTTCTCCTTGGGCGCTGCCCCGCCAGCATTGTAGACGCAGGAGGGCAACCGTTGTGCACAGGTCAAGACTTGCCCACAGCCTACCAGCCTCCCAAATTGTACATCAGCTGCTTTGATGTGACGTACGTGATAATGGATGGGCTGCGCTGGGGCAGCCTTCGCCTGCATCTCATCTCTTGCATTCCCGCACAATGCTGCACACTGCGTGTTTGCTGCTTCCAGGGACAATCGCATGTCCTTTGCTGGCATTGTTCTATGGTTCATTGTACATCAGTCCCTGAGTTCATCATGTCTGCCATGCCTTGCCCAAAAATGCACACCCGACAGAAGGATGGCTGCCCAGTTTGACCTGAGTCCTAGTGTGCGGAAGCTGTGTGCGCGGCACACACCGCGACTCGTCCTGCAACTGAAGTAAAGTGCAATCAATTGAGTTTGTCGATCATCTACAAGCGTCTTGGTTCCTGACACTGCCAGTCGCGTCGACCCGCGTGCCAATCAGTTCTCGCCAACACCAAGTCGTACATCAGAAACGCTCGTATATCTCGAAGCAACATTTTTTATTACCATTCGATCATTCCGGCTGACCTCGTTGTCAAGCACACAAAGCCGTGCAAGCACGGTTACACCCCGAGCCTGCCGCGGTTTCCGCGCCTTGATGAACTAGATCCTCGAAAAACGACTGTGGTTGCTGTTGCAGACTTGATTTGTATGCGACGGACGTTGGGCATGGCTGCGTGGCGGCTGGCCATTGCCGTGCTCATATGCCTGCTGCACGACAGCCTGCTGGTGCTGGCAGCGCCGAACGCGACAAGCATTCTGGTGCGCTGGGACCTAAGTTGCTGATTTAAAGATCTTCAATCAAACCATTCAGGCTTGTGCAGTGCCAAAGTTTGCAGCTGCAAACCCGCATTGCCCTCAATTTGTGGTGGCAAGAACCACCGCCTCGAGCGACAGCGCGACCAAAATCGCCTCAACCCTGCAGGCACTGCCGGCCCATTGCCGGGGCGAGTGGCAGCTAGTGATGTGCCGTGAGATACCCGCCACGGCCGTGCACCAAGTGTCCGAGTGCTGCGCGCAGCATGCAACCCATGCAACGCGGCCGCGAACCGCGGCGGCGATGCTGCCGCCAAAGGACGTGCCGCGGCCCGACCTCGATGCGGGCAAGTACGACTGGCACTTCAAGAAATGCAGCACGCCCCGCGTGGCAGAGGTCCCGGTTTTCTACCGGTCTGGCGATCGCGCCACCACTGTGAGGGCCGGCCCGTACTGGGGAGGGGCGGTGGGGCACCAAGCAGCGGCAGCGGGCCTGCGTGCACTAATGCACCTCGCCGTTGGCCGGCCGCACGCTTGCCCTCTCACCATCACTCCTACCTGGGCAAGTGCAGTAGCTGCGTTTGTATATTCAGCGCAAAAATTAATTATTTTACAAGCATGAAGATGTTTGCACTTCTAAGTGTCCACCTGCCCAATCACTGCAGCGCACCTCACAATGAATGAGCCCGGGTGCCGCCGCTACGCCCCACACACAACGTAACAGGTCAAGATCGAGCGTCAGCAAGTGCCGGAGCTGACCCCTGCCCTCATCCGCCGGATCAAGCAGGCCGCGCTGGCCGCCGCGCCAGCTGCGGTGCCGGCCGGCGCGCGCGCGCTGCGGGACACTGTGGACGCCCTGCGCCCTGACGGCGGGAAGTCGAGCGGTTTCATCCATCCTGGTGGCTACGCGGGCGCTGAGGAGCTCGCCTTGCTGCGCGAACGCCTGGAGGGCGGCGCGCCTCTGCAGGCGGCCGCCAAGGAGAGCCTGCTGACGGTGAGGGGTGTGGTGGCTGGGGTGGGGGTGGGGTGGGGG